CTATGTGAATGAAATATTGTCGGTCCCGGTGCCTATACTTTTTCCACCTTTCTGGACCAATTTATGGATGCTATAAACGTCTTCACGCTTCTTCTATTCGGAATTCATGAACTAGATGTGAATTTGTGACGAATAAGTAATGAAGAAAGAGATAATTCTCTCTCTCTCTCTCTCTCTCTCTCTCTCTCTCTCGCTTTACCAATTATTTATGTAAAATGAATATAAAAAACGAGTGTATAGAGGATTGCACTCATCTCGGAAAAAATTTAAATAATTCTTTTGAGAATGTGGATGCATGGGTAATTCTGGAAACCGATTGATATCTAATTGCTTCAAGTTCTATCTTGCGCCGATCAAATTATGCCGAAATTTTCACATTGGACGCGCTTTTTTTTGCTCATTAACAGGCAATATTTAGTTAGCAAGCGAAACTGGGACTTTTGCTCTTAATTCGGGTTGAAATTAACTAAAGACGTGTCATTAGAACCACCAGTAACTCATTAACAGATGATCGAAATGAGCTGAATGTTTGCGTAATGGCAGCTTTCAGAAATTATATAGATGATTATATGTTAAAAACACTATTCATGTGTCAGTCCCGGGAATTATTGACTGACTTGTTAGAAATTGATGACTATTTGCTTTGAGATGGGCCTAGTTTTGCAGCGCTTCTCAGAGCTTAGCGTCAATTAAATTTGCAAATAACTCCAGCCCGGCATCAAGCACGTTCGGTCTCCTTAGAATAAGGGAAAGTTCAATTTCTGCCAACAATATAAAACTTATAGTAATGTATCCGTTAGTACAAACATGAAATGTTTCTATATACATACAAAAATAGTCGCAATCAGTCATTTGAAAGACTTGAAATATATGTAGCGTGGAAGAATGAAGTTCGATTGGGTCTATTATTACGAAATATATATCGCTTGGAAGTACGCACTAAAAACTTTACAAAAACCGTAAAGAGTATTCTTGCAATGGTCAATGCAAGATGAAGAATTGGTACATTTTTTGTCGTAGCAGGAAAGTATTGAGAATCTTAATATGCGGAATTTTAAAACATAAAATTTAGATTTGAGTCAGATTGCACGTCCTCCTCCTGACTCCACCTTAATTAAGTATTCTCTCACGGTTTCTATCGCCCATAAATGCTGAGAGCACATGTCTGAAAAATTGAACTGATTACGCTATTAGTAGGCACGAAGGTAAAATTTGACAAAAGATGGTACCGATTAGCCAGTGGACTAACTAACAAAATTGCGCTTGCGGTTATTGAGACTAGCATATTAGTATATACGAAGATGGTATCCATTTTAACAACAAGAATTCGAAAAATCTTTCATCTACTAAATGCTTTAATATCAAGACAAAGTCTTTTGTACGTACGACGTTTTAGTGAAAAAAAAACCCGATAAGACTTCAATATGATTGGACTAACTTTTTCATTCCGTGTTCTTACGGAAATTCCACAAGTAAGGATCGAGTTTAACGATAGACTCCTTCGTGATTAATTTGCGAGGACTGTGCAATTCGTTCAGATACGTTGCTCGACTCCATGAATTGAACCCTATATTGAAATCCAAGTAAATAAAGCCGAGTAAATTAACGGCACCGTTTCCAGGCGGCGCTGAGATTGTACATAAAAAAAAGTTCCCCTTTATGCTCGCTACGGGACACAATCGGCCTCCAAAATGCCTCCACAAAAGTAGTACGGTGTACTTATAACGGAATAAGCCCAAAGAAATATAAATAAAAAGGGATCCAAGAAATTTTGGGTAAACAGACTGAAGTTTTTCCTTTTCGAATTTTGTTTTTGTATTTTTATATTTTCGTAATCTTTGTGTGTGAGAAAAGTAAATGACGTTTCTACTAAATCTACTTAACTAATTTGAGTTCAGATTAATGGCTTGGCAACACTAAATACTTTCGAAGCAGGCAAAAGAAAAACCGAAAAACTAGAAACAAAAAGCAAAAAACTACATCGACCTGCGGCAGCAGCATCAACATATTGTGTGATGCAGTTACACGATTGTGTTGTGAGTGCTTAAAATGTTTTTGTTTATGTTCATGCATTCATGTGTTTATATTATGCAGCTTAGACGGCTATACAATCTCATCCAAGACCAGACAAGGCCGCCCGTCCGTCTATTGAGCGTAGAAATTCAAATTTAGTTCGTCTGCCTGTAGTGTCATCTTATTGTAATAGAAGTGTAAATCTGTTAACTCCAGGTGAACAATACGAAATTTGCATATTACATGTAACAAATGGAAAACACCGTCACACCAACAGTCATAATTTATGTTTTGCTGTTTGCATTCAAAGCTTTGCAATTCCACAACTGTTATTGTTGTACTTCATTCGATTAATAAACAGTTTAAATTTAAGCATTATGTTGTTCACCATTACGTGCACTACGTATACACTTATGCGGTGTATAACAATTTGACTTTGGTAACTCAGTAATTGTTTCTTGATATTGTCATATACGGAAGTATTTACTAGAAATTAGAGCTCAAAGGAACCTTGTTCACAACTGAGACAAAAAAAAAAAAAAAAAAAAAAAAAGAAACTTTCACACAACAATAAAGCAAATTTTACATATACATATATATATCTTATGTAAAGATATCGAGAGATTAGCGATTACAATTCTAACAGTCAATGCCCTATTCACCGCACTTAATCAAACGAGCTGATGACTTGCCTTTAATTAATTACTAAATATATACATGTCAAATTTAAAACTGATTCTGTGCACCCTATCGGCATATATATACAAAAGACCAAAAAAAAAAAAAAAAAAAAGCAGAAAATTTTACGAATTTCACGTAGGTTTCATCACTTTTTTTACCTTTCTCGCCTTGGCGTTATATTAGCCTTTCATTCGCGGGCATATTGAATTTCTCGAACGCAAGGCGTAGAGTATCGCACTCTTGCATATAAACTCTGACCAACAACGAGAATGGCTGCAAATAAAATGTATACAGATATATTATATATATCTGTAAATGTCCGTCTCTCTGTCCATTGTGTGTATTCTAAAAATTTTGATTTTTACTTTTCTTTTGGCTTAGTCAATGCCGACCAATAGAATAGTAAAAAACTGTTTGACTAAAATGTCTTCCGTATTGAAGCGATTTCTGCTCTTTGGAGCCTATGAAATAAGGTATGAATTTTTGGTTACAGAATGGTTGGGTTAGCAGAATGGACGCGCTATGCAAATAGATAATAAGTTATCGATTTTGAAAAAGCTCTTATTCGAAACCAGAAATGTTAGACAAAGACAGCAGAGGGGGTAGCAAAACAAACAAGCGAACGATATAAGGGATGAAATAACCCCATGTCGAGATACTGTCAATTACATATTTGTTGTGGCGTTACGGTATAGGTCCATAAATCCCTTTTTTGTCAACTAGCAGCAGGCGTTACCATTCCCAATTGCCGTAATTGCCGCCAGGCTATTTCGCGCAACTGATCAAGCAAAAAATCTTTATTATATTATCGAACACATAAAACCAATTTTTTGCGAGTTTAAGCGAACTTTTATTGTAAACTGCGGTTTTTCCTTTCACTTTGCCAAAGATCTTCGTTGCACGTTGTTTCTATTACGCGTTATCAGGCTTTCGTAAGTATTGTTAAATGGAATCAATTGGGTAGAGTAAGACACCGGATCTTCTACTTGTTTCTTTTTATGGCTAGTTTTGATTATTTAACGCCTTGGCCGGCTAGACCTCACCAAACGGAGATAGTTCGTGCAACTGAGCTGAAACATTCACTGTACTACAAAACTTCTTAGGTGCTAAAGTAATATATATGTCTTTTTATAGAAATGTAGTTTTACTTTGGATAGAGTTCGTTGATCTTTAAGTCTCACATCTTCAACATTTTACTACGTGAAGTACAAGAATTTGAACACTTTTTGCTCATTTGTTAATGTTATAAGTGGACTATGAAATGATATTCGACTCGAAGTGTTGTGAGTTTAGAAGAGCTCAGTACTTTTTATACATGATATAATATTACGCTGTAGCTATGTTCAAAGAGTATGTACGCTATGTTGTTGATATAATTTATAAAAATGCATTTGTGTCTATGTCTAGGCTTAGGTGTGAAATGGCATACAGACGACCACTCATCCCTATATTACGTAATTATTCTACATTGCAGTTGTCTTGGAGAATATTTATTCATTTTTTTTTTTTTTTTTTGCAAATTTGTGAATACAATCAAAAGGTAATAATTTTCAATGAATGCATTTTTGTCATCTTTTGTTATATTCCGTGTCAGTAAAGAGAAACGAGTAAAAGAAGCTCGAGTCGGGTATTAAAATATTCGATATCAGCTAAATATAATTTCATTGTTATTTTTATTTGCACTCGAGTTAAGAGCATCATCGACACAATTTTCAAAATAATGCAACATTTATTTCGTGATTTGTAGGTGACCTCGGGTGACCATCACTTTATTTGTACGTATTAATGTAATATTAGTTTAATACTAACTGGGCATCATACGGAGGAAAGTGCATTTTTTTTCTACGCTTTACCTAAGCTTTTGTTTTTCCTTTAATATATATATATATATATTTTTAAGCCGTGTCTGAAATCGTGTGATAGCTCTGTTTAAAATGGTCAGAGTATCAAACAGAGAGTCAACTTTGCAAACTTTAAATGTTACAAATGAAAATATTTTCGTATTGTCAGAAATTCTTGGAAACGTTGTGTGTGCAAATTTATGTTAACGAAACTATTTTTTATTTTTCTATTTTTTATTTATTGTTGTTGTTATTGTTGTTGTTGTTGTTGTATTATTGATTTTAATCGTTGAAAAAAGTAATCGTTTTTAACGTTGTTTTTATGAATGATATTAAAATAAAAGTTGGGAGAAAAACATAAAATTTTCAAGAAAATTAGGAGCGCCATAGATCAAAAAATAAAACATTGAAAAATAGCCAATTGCTTTATGCCTTAATTCTTTTTTTTTTTTTTTTTTTTTTTTTTGTTTTTTTTTTGTTTTAAGAGTTATATAAAACGCACATATGCACGTCTGATGATTTACAACTCAGCCATTCATATATTGCCAGTTGAACAACATCATAGTGATCTCGAAGAGTTCATTCAGATGCACATATGTAAGCATACACGTTGAAAAATTTATTTGCTTCAAATTCCTCATCTAACCTTTCCCTTGCCATCGAGCGACGGACAGCAGAGTTGGTGAACAAGCTTAATCGACGTACAGTCTTACGTTGTTCATTCAGCAACTTCGAATACATGATTAAGTGCACTATGAACGTAAAGAGAAATCCAATATGAAATATAGGTAATCCACGTAGAAGTTCGTTATATTATCTGTTAGGCAGTCAGCGTTGCGATTAAAGTGGATGATCGTCAAACGATGTCTGCCACGAAGACCAACTCTAAAATTTAGTATAGGGTGGGTTGGCTACTTCTTGAAGGCAAAATATTCTATAGACTGAAAATAAAAAAAAACAAAAAAAAAACAAACGATAAATGACATTAATATTTGCCCTTGCGTATGAGAAATTTAAAAGTCGGAACAATTAAGGCCGAAACTGTAAGTTTATTTATATGAAAATCGAAGCGAATAAGCAAAATATAGTCGATGTGGGACAAATATTGGACGAATGCAGGAGTTGCTATATTCTTTGTTCGCACGTTCAAATCTCAGTGCGAGAAAGCGTTTGTGGTTGTAGCTATAATAAGGCCTCACTTGACAAAAGCAAAATACTTACCGATTGGGCGCGCACCCACTGTGATGCGGTCACTTTTCCTATCTCTTTCTCTCTTCCGTGACTCCTTTTTGCCTGTCACAGCGTTACGTGCTATTGAAAAAAATAAGTAAAAAAATAAGTACAAAAATTAAATTCGGTTGAGGCCAAATCAAATCCCTCTTCATTTACCCGGCTGCGTATCACTATATCAAGTTGTCCCGTTTTAAATATTGACTTGCATGCAAGAATTTCTAATGTTTCTACCGAATTTGAATTTGACATCTTCATTTTTGCGAGCAGAGATTCAGAATTTCATACTCATCAAAAATATATACACTTTATAATGTATGTGCCCGCATCCTTCAGTAGTGGATACAAAAGGAAACCTACGAATTATTCTAAAGATCAGTTAGGTTTTCCCAAATTCTGATATTTCTAAATTAAAATTAAATTTTTAAGCCCATCACTAGAGAAGGCCGAAGTAAAGTATTTATACCGCTAATCTTAAGTTGCTTGTTCAATATTCGAATAAATAAAGAGTCAAACGGAGCTTATTGGTTGGTATATTGGTAATATATTATATGTCCAGTTCAAAATGCCCTGCAATTGAGTCAAGAATAATCTTTCTATAGCTGGAAATCGGAATTTAAAAATTTTTTTATTAACATTTTAAAGATACGGCCGAATAAGTTTTTTGTGAATATGTACAGATCAGCGCGCATCAGCCTTACAGCTTCTTACATAATTTCATCCCTATTTATTTTAATTTTAATTCTAATCCTTATCCAATAAGTTTATTATATGGAAATTAAAAAAAACCTTCAAAAGATCAGAAAAAGTCTATTAATCGATGCAAGAGTTCTTTCTGCATAGACTTTTGTTCCGCTTACAGATTATAAACAAGTTATTAAATGTGATATCTGGTTTATAGTTCTGAAATGCTGTGCACCTCTGCCTCTCTGTTATGCATATCTGTCAAAATTGCGGGTCGAACAAGTTCTTCAAGGTAGTTCAAGGTGAGGGACTACCCGCCGTCTGTGACCCTATGAAGCGCATGCTGCGCATGATTCGTTATAAAAAAATACATGTACGGCTTGGACTTAAACTGGGAATTATGGAAAGCTCGATGGTTCGCTTGATTCAAATTTTTCTAATTTTGTTCGTTGCCTCAGGATAGCTAGCTTTCTTATATGTTTCCCGTTATGATAGGGAAAATTTAGAAAGCTCTCTGTTTATTTTTCTTTCAGTGCATTTAAGCCTCTGCCTGTGGGGCGATTGTAATGCGTCCAAACGGTATCGTGATGTGCCGGCTGACATAAATTGAACAAATCTAACAGGTACACATATTCGAACCTCTATCCAATGCTTTGAAGCATGTGTGCATGGATATGTTATTTAAGATTGAATGCGTGTGCATCAACATAAATATTTTGTACCTATGCTCGTATGCTACACAAATGATTATACACATAATAATGATTCACGAATTCAACCTGTTAGTTTACCAAGTGGATAGCGCGGATATATATATATATACTTACATATAGACTGTACGTGCATATGCACATGCATATGCATGCACTTGAGAAAGCATCCCACGAAATTTCGCTAATTCCACATTATTTCAAGTCGTAAATTCTAAAATCGCTGCTGCGTTAGATAATGAAGAAATATTGTGTGCCGTGTAACCGTCTCTAATTATGACTCATTCATCAAACAAATTGATTTACACGTAATGCACTGCACTGCACTATAAACGCTTAGATGTGGAACAACGCTTAAATGACGGGCGAACGGGATAACTAAAGGATTTAGTGTATCATATATGATATGTGGGCTGTGCTTGCGTTAGCAATCGAGGGACCGTAATGTGTCAATAATCAACTTAAATTTAGCAAATAAAACAACAGCAACAACAACAACAACAACAACAACAAAAGTAAGCCCAATACGCAATTAATAGAATTTGTGGCCAGACAAACAATTTCTCGCCCGTGCCCTATACCCGATGCCCGATGCCCGATGCGCTTTTCACGTTTAAATGCTACGTGAGCTGTTACTACTTTTTATTATATGATATATATGTTATTTTCTTAATTGTTTGAATACGTTTATCTGCGCTTAAAGTCGGTGTTACGGTCAGTGGCGCTAGTTAAGCGCATATAGGAAAAGCTCTCGGCACTTCTTTTAATGCGTGAAATGGGCACAACAACAATCAACCACTAAGAAAATTATGGTTATTCAGACCGAATCGACATAAGTGTTTGACATTAAAGAAGTCAATCGTTAACGTGCTGGGAGCATATACTTGTTTTTGTTGTTGTTGTTATTGTTTGTCTTACATTTTTATTTCTCTTTTTTGTTTCATAAAATAAAATGCAAAAGCGCGCTGCTTCTAGTATTAGGCAGATTCCAATGACAAATACATATAAATAAAAAATTTCTGCATTTAAATATATACATATAAGCATAGCATATTGTATATACATACATATATATACATGTATCCTTCTGTAAATGTTCGTTTACTTATATGCAAGACATTTTATTACTTATACTCACTTTGTTGTACATTATTTTCGTTATTGTTGTCTTCAGCCCAGTTAACTTAGCTACTGTGACTTTGTATGAACAACGAAGAAACGAACAGTAAACGCAGGCAGACAGAGTGACAGACAGGCTGGCAATTGTCCATAGTATGGTAGTGCAATGCGAACCCAACATCTCTAGTAAGTATAGTAAAGCACCTCAGAATGATATGCTGGTTGACATTCGATTGTAAGCACGCGTCATTATTATTGTTGTAGCAATTGTTCAGCTTTCGTATTCGTTGCGGACAATGATTTCGTTTTATGATGTTTATCAACAATAAAATTACACACTGAATGCATGGGTCTATGCTTTCATGGATTCATTCGGTTTATTGCATGCGCAATCCCTTAAGTTATATTAAATTTGTCATTTCATTAGCAACCGCTTACACAATTCCAATTACAATTTCGAACATTCGTTCTCATTCATTATACACGTTTGCCAAAAAATTGTTAATTTTTTTTTTTTTTCCAAATGTTAGTAAAGAGGACGTTTAATCGATTATCAATTGATGGCCATAAAACGGTTACATGTTTTAATGAGAGCGAGAGAAACAAATGCAAATACAATTTTTTAGCATCAAAGCTATACTTATTGCAAATCCAATTAGGCGGGAAGTCTAGCGTAAGTAATATACCTGTAATGTGTTACAGTGTTTACACCTAATCAACAAAAAAGTAAATCAATAAAGGGCACATTTTGAAACACCTCATTATCATCTATCTACTGGAAATCGTTTAAAAAAGTAAAACACTTTCAAGTTTCTTCGCTTCGTTGTATTATAAATCAAAAAAGAATTCATTTACCAAATAATACGCATAGCCAGACGCTTATTACAGTTTCGACTCGAGTCGACATTTGAAATACATTGTGTTATGGTTAAGAAAACCGTACATTTGTAGCACATTTGCAGCACCCACATACCATATGGATGTGCAAATGTAAGTAAGTGTACAGATATATTCAACCGTATATCAATAATTGACATCAATTTTGTCACGGTCAATTAGCTGTTCTTAGGCGGACAGATATTTTTGCATATATAACATCCACACTTACGCACAAATGTGATATATTAAATAACATTGAATTGGTTATCAAGCCAATGGCGACTTAAGACGAGCGGAAATCTTCAGTTGACCATTCCCTATACAATAAATTCAATAGATTTTAAATTGAGCTATAATACCCACATACAATGTGAAAAATCTGTCGCTTTGAAAGCAGCAGCAATGAGCTTAAAACAAGGGCAAACCCTATAGTGTGACACGGCCCATTATTAAACACATTACACAATTTCACGTAATACATACAGATAGTTATTCATATAATTAGTTTTCAAAATAGAGCGTTGTATTGCAAGTGATCGAAAAAGTGATTCGATCCATCCCATTTGCAATAGCGCTCTTTCGTGGGCGCAAACACGTAGGCATACCAAATTTTATCAAAATATCTTGAAAATTGCGATGCGTAGGCTGAAAGCACGAAAACAAGGCGACCAGGCGTACAAAGCAGCTGAGTACGTTTCCGAAAGTAACTCTGAATCGATCGATATAATAACACGTGGTCTATTTCAAATCTTTCTGAGTGTTGCATATATTCGCACAAACTTAATATACTCTTACACAATAAGTAGTGTAGGGGGGTAATGAACGCATTGTCGAATTTCCAATATCTCCTGCATAAACACTTCATATATCTAAAGCATTCCTAATTCCGGTAAAACGTTGCCGCTTCTACATACGATATTTCCGTAAATTTCACTTCCGAAATTTTCAAATCGATGCCAATAGACAAAATTCGGTTTTATTAATACAAAACTACGTTTACGTGACAGGCGTTATTTTAACTCTCGACTTTCTTTGTATGAATTGTAAACCAATTTGCTTAAGTTAGGATGTCTGTATATTGAATTTGAGTGAATGAGTTAAGTTTTGATTGAAATTAAAGTCTATGTCGCTGTAAAGGCTGCCTTCTCACAGGAAGAGGAGTCCGAAAAATAGACTTATACAATCTAAGCTTCCCACAGCACATTTATATGTCAACTCACTCTTGTCGAATTAAGGTTCCAAACATTCCAAAACACGATTTATATGGAGGCTTTCAAAAGATGCATCTTATCTCATCTAAACTTTTTCAACTCTCTTTGGTGCAACTAACTCCTATCTTTTATCGAATTAAATTGAGAATTATTGAGAAGTGCCTTTTTCGAAATGGGGTACTATGTGCGAAATGGTGGAGAAACGATTCGATTCGAAGCATACACAATAGGATTCGCTGTTGGTTCAAAACTAGTCAATGCACTTAAACTTAATCAAAATGTTTCGAAAGTTACGACTTGTGAGGTTGAATATAAATATATACACAGACAGGTAGGCAGCGTAGAGCATAGTAAAATTTGGGTTTATCTCAAGTCGTTCAAGCCGCTGTTTCGTGCATCCACATAAACTTCATATATTCTTACCACGTTCATATGATATCATTTCGTTTATTATTCGGTGATGGATTCGGTAAACAGAAACTAAGGATTCCGAGCAACTTTTATTCACCCTATATTCTAATGGTGAAACTGATCTCCACTATTTATGTACGTATAGGAAGACATTCGAAAACAATGACAGCCAGGCTTGGCAGCGATTGCAGTCATAAGCTTTCCCCTTATTTTCATAGTTTTGTCCATTGCTCAAACACTGCTTAATGTTATTGTAATGGCTTTGAATTTTTTGCTTTTCAAAATATCAATTGTCAGTCTAGGGGCTCTATTCGTCTGTCGACATTCTCTCAGGATAGATGATAGACAAAGTAATGCCGTAGTACAGTACCGTCTTCGGGGCAAGACAGACATTTGGTATACAAAAAACTTTTATTGTATTGAAAGGCTTACCGAAGGCTGTTCGTGTTATCGAATACCAGATCAAATAGTAAAGTTATAGGCATTTATATGGTTGTATACGCTTGCGTAAGAAACTTCTCAAACAAGCCAGTCAATATACTTATTTCAATGCGTGTGTATATATATATATATATATATATATATATATATATATATAAATATATATATATTTATGTATTGGTATGATGCATACAACCAGCCTGGCATTTGGTTCTTTTTAAATGAGTTTAGAGAGTTTTCAATCACAAAAAACTTGACAACAGTGTCAGCCAATTATTCGGTTATGCCCTCAAATAACTTTATTGTCGTCAAATTGTACTCTTGGAGTATTACGAAAAGAAGAAAAAAAAAGAAGTTAAAGTAAAGATTTAAAATAACAAAAACTGAAATATATCACGATCAACTAACTTATAAAAATACCCACACGATGTATACGTATATGCATCCCCGTACACAGATACTTGGGTTGATATTTGCGTCTCTTCATCATATCAGTTATTTGGCAGAGCGATCCGTGGTTTATTTTGCAAAACGAATGAAAACAACAATTATTGTCAAAAAGTGTTTGAATGCTCGCGCGTGAAAGTGAAATATGTTCCAATTATGTGCGGAGATGTCACCTCGGCAAATTCAAATTGGTTGTTGGCTGACTTGAATTGTGCGGTAAATGAAAAACTTAACAAAACAAATACCAAAAAGAGACAAACAAAACCGAAATTATTGTTCGTTCAGCTTTTGCCATTGTCAACATCAAGATGTTGTTAAATTTGTTCATATTAACGACGGATGAATAATGGATAACTTTTGTTGCACTTCATTGGCTGTTAAGCCGCTGTCTCGTATGTGGTTTAGCTGGCTGGCTGGCTGGCTGGCTGACTGCTTGGCTGACTAGTTGGCTCGCTGGTTGACTGGATGCCTGGTTGGTTGGCTGTTAGCCTGGCTGCCTGGCTGGCTTACTCGATGATCGTGCAGGAAGATAACGTTGGATGGATTCGTGATTTCGGCAAAAGTCGAAAGTAAATCATTTTTGTTTTTTTTTTTTTTTTTTTCATTCATTCATTTATTTATTATTTCGATAACGCCAACGCGAACGCTCGAGGTGATGATTGTGCTGTGACAATGACGATGACAATGCCACCAAACATAAATTTCGGACCTTTCGTAAATGAGGAAGGTAGCGGTAAACTTCCGGTAGCTGAGAATACGTTATTGGTGTGATATGTGCATGAAAGACACGTATAAGAAAATAATCATAACTGATGATGAATTGTAAGGAGGAACGGGAAGAGGCGATAGCAAGATGAGTGAATGTGCATTGGTTTGTTTTCTATTACTTTATCTTAGAAAACTATAGAGCGCACACATCATGTTAATGTTCGTGATTTATTTCTAACCAAATTGTCGCCACTGTGTCGTGTATTAGAGATGTCAGAAAACGGCTAAAATGTAACGCTTTGTGCTTCCCACACATGGACTCAACGGCTCGATGCTGCTGTAAATGTCGCATGTTGTTTTCAAACTGTTTCCACGCTTACTACCCACAAAATCACACTAAAGAAGACGATTGCACTGATGAATGCTACAGAAACTTATTGTTACCTCTACATTTGTCTATATATACATATACATACATACATACATACATACATACATACATACATATTTACATCGGTATACCGATCATTATCTGGGAAAATCGCTTTTTGCGAAAGCACTCGCGGAGAAATATTATAAATAAAGATAAAGATGGGCCCGCGAAAGCATGCGAATGCGCATGTCATGCGTTTATTCATTTCTTTAATTTTCTTCTTTTTTTTTTTTTTTTTGTTTTTTTCTCTTTTCTTATGTTAGCTACTGAAACGAAATTAAAGTCCAAGTGAAAAAATAAAATAAAACTCTAAATAACGTAAGTTAAGTATAAATTGTAAGGAAAGCGTACCTAACCGTTGTTGCATTGCGGAATTTTACGATGACGGCAATTAAAAAGAGTTTAACCATAGCAATCAGGGTACTGGTGAAATCATAAAAGCACTGTTATGCTAATTGCTGGATACGCATCTTAATCTCAGGCACAAGATCCCAGTTAAAAGCTTAGCTTAAATAGGTTCAATAACATTTTATAGGCAAACCTTTATTATTGTAAGATAAACACATCCGCTTATATTCTACACATGCGAAAGAAGCTTTCGTCATACATTCATAGCTTGATTACATTGAAATTGGATTATCGAAAGGCAGGAACGAACCTTGCCTTGATTCCTGTTGATCGAAAACTTTCTTTGCTCAGGCATGGAAAAGCATTGATTTTGGCTCCGAACCGAAACCATAAGAAATGGATAATAAAACATTCACTTTGTGTGTGTTTGATCTTATATCAAATAATTTACAATTCATTGGGCCCGTTACTGTGTGATACTTGAAATAGACAAATAATTTCGATTTTGTTCTTTCAAATAATTATAATCAGTCATAATATTTTGCTTCGTCCAATGACGTCTTGCTATTCTTGCAATAAGTACTCATTATCCACATAAATTACAAACGTAGAGAAAGATAAGACTTTCTACACATTTATTGTATGCGTATGGAGTAAAAAGAGATAACTAACTTATGGTCTTAGCTAAATGTTCTTATGTCTGACCTGAATAAGAAGTGGATTGCACCATTATACGTATTATATACGTTCAATGGTAAATAAGATGGAGTCTAGTTTAATACAAATAGTTCCAAGACAACTTGTTGTATATTAATGAATAAAAACAACTAGAAGAGATAAGTGCTGTTAACGGGCCAACCTGGGTCTTCGACGCATATGTCGGACACCCTAAGCACTAGACCAATTGCAATTGGATAAATTTTTTATACCAAGGATTACTATGATCTTTTATAGAAGAATATGTTACTCTTATGTAAGTTAAAAATAGTATAATTCGTAGACCAGT